GTGTGTGTGTGTGTGTGTGTGTGTGTGCGTGTGCACATGCAGGAAGCAGTGAGGTCTGGTTCAGGTTCAAACAAGTCAAGAGATGGCTTTCATTTGCCGATGCTGTGTTTGCACTAAATACAGTATTTGTATGTCTGAATTGTGTTTGTCAGTCAGTGTCCAATTTATGTAATTCACAGCATCAACAAGTCAAAGGGAGTCTAACTTCATTAAGACACTACAACTGGACAGCACATTCTCAATCCCACGCATTATTCTAAAATATAGTTTCATCAAAGTGCCATGTTTGTGCTCGACTCTTATTGCCTGTCACTGTTTGCTTCTACCTTTGAGTCCAATGGCTCCTTTCTTCCGAAACTGACACGACAACCTATGCACTGTAGCTCATGCACACAAACTACAGCAACAATGGAAGCAAAGCAAACAGGAAACTGTGAATTTTGTTGACAAGACGATAGATCCCCCCGCCAGCAGCTGACTGTGGGACGCACCTGGCGGCCTCTCTACTTTCTGTCAAGAGTTTAGTGGAGGACTGGAAGACGGATAGCGATTCCTTCTTTAGATAAATACCTCTGTGAGGTGTTCATCCTGCTGAATTTACACATACCTTTCAACGAGGATTTATCCTGCTAACCCGAACAGCATGATTCTCACAGCTGGCTTTAAAATTAAATATGAGAAAGAACACTTTACATGCATACTGCTTTTTTTCTTCTGGGGTAGGGCAGCGCCATTAACTGAAAATTTATCGAAACAGACATTTATAACCTCTAACTGACTTAATCTTGCTCATGTCGGTTAATTCGGTTGATACTTTACACAGTGCATGCATTCACAAACTGTCGGTTTCTGCTAAGTTCATTTTGCAGTGGCAGCCCTTGTACCTTGTACTGTGCTGTATTACAATGCAGCAAGTCCTCCTTCCTCATTCTCCTACTGATCTGCGCTCACTTGTCATTAACAAAAAACACCAACACTAATAAGAAGTTATTAAGTGCTGAAGTTTACTTTGTGTTTGTTTGATTTGGTCTAGAGTTAATGAGACATGTATTTAAAATAAAATTAATTTTCTCCATTAATCGTAACCGAGGTAAAAGTTTGAAATACTCTGGGGGTTTGTCTGAAATTTGTATTGGCTCATGAAAATATATATGTCCTATTTAGCCACTGTCAAATTTCTTTAAATGTCTGAATTTCTGTAAGGTTGAGCTTCTATTAAAGTCAGGATTTTAATTTGCAACACATGCTCATACAAACTGTTCAAGTCAATTGAGTCTGTAGACATCAAGTATGTTTGACTGAGAGACTCACTGTCAAAAAAAAGAAATAACCCCAGAGTAATTATTAAGTTCTATCTGCACGTCCTTTTTAGGTAACAGAAATTAAGCTTGTACAGACTAGAAAAGCAGTGCAATAGAAATGACAGCTTGTAGTGACGTCAGTTTGCTGTAACCACAGTTCGACAGCTGAAATCACACTAGTTTTGGCCTGCAGCAGGTGAGATTGCTCTTTATTGTGGTCTCTTATCTGCAGGTTGGTAATGAAACCTCAAAACCAAACATTCCGGCAGATCATGGAGTTGATATTGGAAAATTAAAATGTATCTCTATTATCTGTGGGAAATCACCTTGTATTGTCTACAGTTTTGCAATCATGATCATAACAGTTTATGTGTCTCCTTTTAATGTCACCGTGTTCACATTCCTTTAACGATGAATAGAACATCATGCTTTTAATACCAGGTTTACTAAAGTATAATTGGTAAGTTTGCCAGCAGCAATTTAAATGGTTGAGCCAGCCCTGCCACTTTTATTTTGCGATGTGTGCCAGGTTGAATCTCCAGTGTAAACAACAATTATCCCACGCGTTGATTACTACAAACTGATGGCGTATATTTTTCCGAGCCACCTACAGAAATATCTGCCCCATGTTATCAACACAACTCAATAAGTGTTAATGAATGAATACATTGGTCTAATTATGGAATTTCTCAGGAGTATAAACAATGGTTTGGTCTTGTTTTCTACCTCATGCATTGGGTTTGTGTATTCAGAGTTAGACTTCCTCCTGTGTGTTTGATTGTAAGGAAACGTGTGTGCATGTAAATGCGCACTTGTGTTTCATTCTGGATAATGTTTGGGTATGTGGGTATGTGCTTGCACACATGTGTAGCTATGCTGTGCCATGTGTCTTTGGTGACTAGTGAACCGCAGCTTGAAGGTCAGTAGAGGCGTCTGGCTGAGGACATCCCTCTGTCAGCTGTCAGCATAGTCAGTCTGTGAGGTCAAAGGTTGTTCTACCAGGTTGAACATGAGTGGAGAGGAGTCAATAACTCAGCAACACCTGAGCACTAACATCTGAGTGGGCTCTATATCATGTAATTCACTGAAACAACACCTGAATTATTTTTTCAACGGCCTACTTGTGAAAATGGGAGCTCCTTGTTCTGTCTAAATGGATGCAGATAATGGCGTAAAACAACTATTGTGGTATCATTCAAAAGTAAGCGGTTTTGAGAACTGATACTATGTACTACAGTCTATAAAACCCCATTATCAGTTTAAAAAAAGTCTCAGTAAAAGCTATCTGAAACAACAGAGCTATAATTTTGTCCAATTATCTCCCAAACTAGGAAACTGGGCTTGTGAAGGATGAGAGACACAAACAATCCCAGTCCTCTCCACCACAGTGTCCTTTGTTTGTGGC